CAGGATCCGGAGAAGCAGCTGAGAGGCGGTTAATGGCATAGCTGCATCCGCGACGCGAAATAGTTCGGATAGTGACGCCTAATAAACAATAAAGAGCAGGCACGTGCAGAGGGGGGTGCGATGGGTGCTTGAGCACCTGCCCCTTTTCCCCTTCGTCTTCTTCTTCTTCTTGGTTTTATGGCGAGTTGCCCCTTTTCCCCTTGATGCCCAAAGTGCCCTTTTGTCAAGGCAATAAAAAAAACAACATTTTTTGTAATTAAACGCCATTTTGTGAAGGCCTGCCCAATCTAACTATTAGTAAAATTAATGAATAATAATTTAGTCGTAAATAAAATTATCCACATGATGATGACCTTTCACCTGACGATCTCATCAGGGACTATCCCTCACGCGTTCAGACACCTTTAATGTAGCGCACTACCAGGTTGCCTTCATGACGTTCGCGGCTGCCGGTAAGTGGCGTTCTCAGCGGAGCGGTGTGCTTGTATACTTATATTATTAAATTATTATTATTATTATACAAGAACTGCGTGAAGAGAGCATGCACAGCTGTTGTTTATATTGCTGTTTGTAGCCTGTGGAAGTAAGGTTAGCTGCAGCAAGGGGCTATAATATTTTTGTTCAATATTTTCCTAATGACAATTTTATGATCGGTTTATAAAGGCTACTACGAGCACCTTTTCCCCATTTTTATCACAGAATAAAGCAGGAAATTTATAGTTTCTATAGGCCACTAAATGATATGTCAATCAGTACTGCATTATTCATAAAGTTTATTTATTACCTGGAGACAACTTGAAAAACACACAAGTTTCAAGTTTTTTTTTCTGCTTTTTACTCAGCTCAGCTACAGATGCTTTTGTCCATATTAGGGTTTCCTGCACGTCATAAGTAATTCCTTCTATGAGTCTGATTTGGACTTTCTGCACGAGAGCGCCCTCCGGCTTCGAGTATGAATTAAACATCCACATATTCACTAAAACGTCAGGTCATGCAGGTCGCGGCCCTGATAAAAAGTATTTTCTATGGTTGGGTAATTGGAATGGATAGCCTAAGGAACGAATAGGTATATCAAGCTTTTATTATTTACTGTAGTGCTTTTTATTTTGGTCCTCTGGTAAAGTCAATATTATACTTATTGTTTGCACCTGCTGCTGTGGTAAACTGTAGATTACGATTATGTTGGGACAACATTTAAAAGAACAAACCATTTACAATTATCAGTATGCCTTGCGATTTTAGGCATATGAGATTTAATTTCGTTATTAAAGGGGTCATATGATGCTGCTAAAAAGACCATTATTTTGTGTATTTGGTGTAATGAAATGTGTTTATGCGGTTTAAGTAGGGCTGGACAATAATTCAATATCAATATGTATCGCGATATGATTTTTTTCAATAACGGTGATATGATTTTTAAACACATTTCCGATATTTCGATATACATTACCAGTTTCCCATACATTGATTTATTTGTGCCGTTTGACTTCGTTGAATAAACATGAGCACTGCACGTTTCAAAATCATAACACGGCGCGATTATAATGACTTATACTGTCTTTTTACGCGTTGCGTTGCATCGCGCCGCGTAAACATAAAACCATGTCTGCATTTGTAATCAAAGAAATGACAAACAACAAGCGCTGCTCTACACTGCCAAAACCCACGTTTGAATCATCAGTGGCAAATCCTTTAAATGAAAACGTACTTACAGTCTTTGAATCAGAACAGCCGGCATTGTAGTGTATTCTACCAGGATCAGGAAACAGTCCTCCATAAAATACGCTGCACACATCTGAATATTTGGGTTGAACTGTTCTGGAACAGTGTTGTAAATACAACTTAACCACTGATTTCTAGTCGTGTCCTCTTTTGGAAGACCAAACAAAGTAGTTTCGCTTTCATAACGAGAAACACAGCGTCTTCACAACATGGTGGCGGCAGCAACAATAGCAAGAATCAAAGTTCTTCGTATTTCCTCAGCGACCAGCACGGATCAGCTCTAGGCATGACGGAGCAGATATCGTCCTCTTTTGGAAGGCCAAACAAAGTAGTTTCGTTTTCACAACGAAACACAGCGTCACACACGGCGGGCTTGAGTGAGCGTTGGCGGGCGGGCTTGAGAACGGCGCGGCCGGCGGATTCGACGAAGAAGCACCCGGCAGGCTTGCGGCAACCACATGTGATGACCCCGGGCTTTACAGATCTTCTTTATGCACCAAGAGCTTGTAACACTCCAAAGAGAAAGGAACAATTGAAATCGCATCATATGACCCCTTTAATAATTGTAATATATATTAATATAATAACGAAGGATGCATATGTAGCCTACTATAATGTGTATTCAAAGATTAGAGTCCAGACACATCTTCTATCATCACAATTTTATTGCAGCATTTTCAGTTTGTATACAGGTTGTCAGTAATTTAGTTTCACTTTTGTTTTGTCGATAATGCATTCAAGCCAAACATACAGATTTACCAGATAGGCTACTCATAAACTCGTAATCCATGTGGTTATTCTTCATCAGAACAAAGGCTTTATTAAAGCTTTAGATGATGAAAGGGTAGATTACAGAAGCAGATCTTTATATCTATCCTAAGAAACTCTTAAATGTTGACAGTAAGTGATAAGGATCAATACAATACAGTCAACTGTAACTTGTCAGTTCCATTACTTTCCTGAAGAATTATTTTGGCAACAATAGCTATAATTTTACAATGTTTTTAAGAAAAGCAGGGGACACCACAAAATTTCACATCCTCAGAAACGTCCCTGATAGCACACGTACATCACAGAGACGTTTATTTGAAGTCTGCATTTACATCTGAAAGATTTATTTTTTTAGAGTGTTCGCTCATCTACAATACGTCTTTTCCTATCAGATGTCAAATAGACGTTTAGAAGATGTCTTTAAGATGTTTATAATTTAGAATGTATGTAAAACTGACGTTTGAAAGATGTCTATCAGATGTTTGTACACAGCAGATGCTTTCCAGATGAAGCGATCTTTAACAGACACCTTGCAGACGGGTTACTTAGCAATCACTTTCATGTGCTGTTTTATTGTATATCAACATCACATTTAGGAGTAAATAATCTACCCATGTTTAAGTGTTTTATATGGAAGTGGCAGTGAAGTCTGCTAGCTTTCAGCTAATGCTGGATTATGGGAATAAGCGGCATTTCAATATGCGTAGCTGGAAAGGTAATGGGAAAGACCAGTGGCTCCGCTGCTGTCACCACAAAACGTATACTTCCCTTGAGAGGCCAGACTGTTGATCTGAGGAGAAAAAAGGTAGAGAAGCAATTAGAAAGAAGATCTATCTATATGTCTGTCTGTCTGTCTATGAATAGATTTGGTTGGCATGCCTCTGCTCGTTTGATGAATTCCTCAGTTGCGGTGGCTTCATTCTCTCTCTGTCCACGCCAGATCTTCAGAGCTGAGGCCTGAAGAGCTCGGCCGAATGAGAAGGTGAGAGCCCAGGGTTTCACCAGTGGACAGTTATTGATGGCATTTAGGTTAATGGAGGCATCCTCCTCACTTTGACCTCCAGAGAGAAAGGTCACCCCTGAAAGTGCAGGAAGTCTGTAATTACGCAGTGTCCAGACTCGTCACTAAATATGGAATCAGCTTTATATTGTGTAATATATCCTCAACCTGTCACTGCGGGTGGGACAGTACGCCGCAGAGCAGTGACTGTTGCCATGGCAACCTCCTCTGCACTGTATTTGGTTGGGCAGCCGTGTCCAGGGGTCACCATGTTGGGTTTGAGTAGTGTGCCTTCCAGATACACATGATGATCAAACATGGCTTTGTAGACTTCTGCAAGTACCTGAATAAATGACAGTGAATCTGAATCATGTGATGATTCCAGCAAATTTGAATGTGTAAAGCATATTAAAGGAATAGTTAACTCAACTGAAAATACCGTCATAATTTATTCACTCTCATGTTGTGCCAAAATTGTGTAATTTTTCTTTTATGGAACATAAACTATTTTGAAATTTTGCTGTTGATGTTGTTTTGGACTCCATTAATTTTCATTGTCTGACCAAAAACAGGATGCAAAGGGAAGAAAGAAAGTCATACGTTTTTTTTTTTGTTAACAACATGAGGGTGAATAAATAATGACAGAATGTAATATCCCTTTAAGAAGTAGAGTATAACCAACCCTCTCTGTAACAAATTGGCAACGCTTCAAATCATGGTCTCCATCAGGTAGGATCTCAGGTTCCACTATGGGCACAATCCCATGCTGCAAGTACAGATGGGACAAGAACTTGAGATTTAACAAAGATCCATTTGTATCTCTTATTAGTGAATTTAGCCTAATTAACATTTTACCTGCTGACAAATACTAGCATAGCGAGCAAGGACTTTAGCATTTTCTTTAATGCACAGCTTTGATGGGGTGGTATCACTGATTTTCATCACACAACGCCACTTCGCAAAGTCAGCTCCATCCTTTTTATACTGAGCGCAGCGTTCTGAGAGCCCATCCAGACCTATTGAGACAGTAGAGCTGCACTTAACCCTTGTATTATGTCAAAATTCTGTCGGCCATTTCAAACTGACCCAAATTGGATTCAATACAATTCACCAAAAGATTTCACACTGAGGAACAACCTTTAACATTAATACTTCTCACACGTTACAAAAAAAGTAAACATGAGAGTATATGCTTTTTTAAAACTGTGTTGAACAACTATTGTTTAAACATTTTTTTATTGACCCGCTAACATCAGTGATAATAGGAATTTCATATGTACGTTCCACAACACACCAAATGTTGAAACTTTGCAGGCATGTTTATGACCCTAAGGCTGATGATATACTGGGAAACTTTGGGCAATGTTGCCGTCAATGGGCAACCAGGTGAGACACAGGGCCCACGACCAATCTAAAGTATCCAGATAGAAATTTGTTACCCATTCTCAACGGGAAAGTGCACAAGCAACATTGCTCAAAAAAAGTTGCCCAGCAAAATTGCTCAAAAAGATGCCCCGTGTATCATCAGCCTAAGGGGTCGTTTACACAACACAGTTTTCAACTAAAATTGGAAAACTTTTTATGCATTTTGGACGTTAATTTACAGGACAACAACATTTTGGGGGCCTGAAATATGCATAAACATTATTGCCTCCATGTAAAATACATTTTAGAACATTTGATTTGATTTGAGAAAATGGTGACATACTCATGTGTACATGTTCATGTTTTCAGCTTATAGGTATATATGCATATGTGTACAGGTGCGTAGTGTTTCTTTTCAAAGTGGTATCGCCAACTACTGGCCTGCCATGCTTAATACAGCATTTTCAGTCTTTTTGTGGATCCGTTTGAATAGGGATCATTTTCACAACATTGTTGTCTGTACATAAAAACACAAAGAAAAAGCCGTTCTGTTTTTAGTACACCATTGTTGTGTAAACGTACCCTCAATGAGAAATAGTCATACAACTTGAAGAAAAAACATCCTAGTTTAACCAGTATTTCTGACAACTCAAAAAAGTTTTGCTGGTCAAACTGACTTGGAACATAATATAAGGGTTAAACAGTTTACTAAATCAAGAGCCAAAAAACTAAGGTAAAAGGAGTCTACAAACCAAATGTATCAACAGTGAAATCAAATTTGAATTGAATTATCAGATATTCAGATCCAGAGAATGGACATCTTTGAAATACCTTGTGTAGTGGTTTCTCCATTAGTCCCTGGCATGGGGACTACACCTTTGTCAACCTGTGAAGAAAGGGCAAAATATTTTAGAAATTAAATAATATTTTCAATTCAGCTCATTAACTTAAATGCCCGGTCAGAAAAAAAGGTGCAAAAATTGTACCTTTAGGAGTACAACAGGTGCATATTAGTAGCTAAGAGTAATAATGTGCACCCTTAAGGTTTATAATATTAACCTTTTAGGGGTAAATACACCCTAAGTACAAAGGTAGAATTTTTGCCCAATTAAATACTAAATTCAAAAACAACGTTTCCCAAAAACAGGCTTTGCAAACACTCCCCATCTGCGACTATTTAGACAAACAGATAGTTCTGTCCCAAAAATATCCCACTGATTGAACTGCACTTTTTTGCTTTTTCTAATGAGACATGACAGGAAGTTATGGGTCGCTGGGAAATGTTGCATTCTAAATTCAAACTCACAGTGCCTGCATGAGCACCAAGGCTCAACATGTTAAAGCAAATACTCTTATATCTACGCTAGTGAACCCAGACGAGACTTTATACCTTGATTCCGATAGTGATACCCTTGTCCTTTATCATCTTGACGAATGGGACGCCATCATCAGAGTTCTGGTAGAGTGTTTCGTGGAAGAAGATCACTCCGCCGATGCAGTTATCAATGCGGTCATCAGCAGTGAAGAGCACCTGTCGGTAGAGACGGCGGTTCTCCTCGTTGTTCTCTACTCCTATCTGGTTCAAACGCTTCCCCATGCTGCCTGTTAGAACATCCACAGGATCAAAGTGGGTTTTTGTGCTTTTCGTTCACACTGCATTTTATGTCGACTAACTGGAGGAAGCCACACTAACCTATGGACTCATCTGCAGCTAGGATGCCTTTCCCTGGTGACACTATGCGTAGAGCTATCTCATGTAGCTCCTTCTTTTGCTCAGTGGTGAGAGGAGGAAACTGATGGGTCATCCTAAATGTCTGACACAACCTGAGGATAGTGTAGAAACAGTAAATAAATACAACATAATCAAGATGGGATTTCAGTGACATCACAATGTTTTGCCTTCCTGCTTAAGTCATTTAAGCTTATTAACAGGGTTTGTATGGTTCACATACAATGTAAGAAAATTAAATACAAGGTTTAAATCTAAAAACGGATCATATCCTGACGGAAAATTACCAGTGACTTTTTTTGTTAAGTTTGCAAACATTTCTTAAAACATAATATGTAACTGGAAACACGGGTAAAAATCAATATGGAAAATTCCCTGGGCGCTATATTTTACGTGCTTTTTTATATTATAAAAAAATATTTTCATATTTTGGGCTTCTATATTTCTTAGAGTGTAGAAAATCCGGAAATATCAAGGAATTTTAAAATTGTGATTTCCAGGCCGGGAAAAGTTATGGAAATTTATGAAATCTTAAAAAAAAAAAAAAAAAAGTCTATTCTAGTCAATGCACAACTATAGAACCTTTACTTTGTTAGAAATTGGTCTCTGTGAAATTTAATTTCTAGAAATTTAATCTCTAGAAAATGATTTAAAAAAATCCTTATCTAGATAAACATTAATTAGATGCACTGAATTATTCTTAAAGATTTATACAATGTAAAAAATATTTTTGTTAATAAAATAAAGATTATTGAAATATATTTTACAAGAAAATACAATTTCACTTTCTACTAAAAGTTCGTGTTTAATTCAGTGTTGCTTGCTTTGTAATTCTCTTTGTAATTATTTGGGACATGTACTAGCAATTTCTGAGTTTTTTCTTCAGTGTAACCAGTATAGAATTGATACAAAGTTCTACCTTTTAAATGAAATAGCCATCAAAAACAAAGTTAAATAGATGCATCCAACACAATTGTCACTTAAAGGCACAGCAGCTCTTCTACTAAATGTTATTCAATTTAGAAATGCCAAGCATTCACTTTCACATTAGCTTAATTAACAACGATTTCTGCAACTCTGGCAAGTTATCCAAAGCCACAACTGAAGCACACAGACAGTTTAAAAGCCTCATGTATATATAAATTACTCTCTTTATGAATAACTAAGTCGCCAAAGTACTGCAAAATATGTTATTTTTAAGAGTTCTTAACTTTGGCAACTTCTTGAAAACCTTTAGCAGCATTTAAACAGCTGGAAAACTGATCGTGCATATATGATTCTAAGCATTAAAAATGATCTATACATGTTCTAAATGGTAACTTGCTTCTGAAAACAACTTTTTAGTAATAAAACCCTTACAAAGTTGTTTCACCACTGCATATTTCACACAACAATTGAAATCCAAAATGGTGATGGCAATAAATTCAACAGATGGAATTACTCACCAAGTCAGAGCAGACTGAAGGACTCAGACTGAAGGGGCTTTTTCCTTCAGACAAGATGAGATGTGACTCATTCTTTAACAGTGCTAGTGTCCCAGTTCTTTATGAAGGTGATATCCCAGAGGATGATGACACTTGTAGGGCGGAGCTTATGATGCCCTCATTAAGTTACTGGAGGAGGTGTTAAAGGCCACCAAAGGTTGCCCACCTGATCCCATTTCTATAGCAGCATGGATTCTCATTATTTTATACACAACGCAATGCCATATTTTTACTAGATTTTTTTTAACATGTTCAAAACTAGGGTTGAGTGTGTGCATTCCAGGGTGTTGCTATGCACTCACAAAGTTGTTAGGGTAGTTGCATACTCAAAATAGTCCAGATATGGCTCTGATCCCTTGTTCAGTGTAAGTCAATTGAGACACAGTCATCTGCCAGGTGAAAATTGTAGCCTGTAAGCCACATTATTTGAGGTATCATTATAACTTTGTAACCTGTTGAGTCAACATCCATTATTATTTTAATCTGAAGCAGGCTGTATTCCCGTCAACAACATAATTAGATCATATATGCCTCAGGCAAATCCTCAAATCTCTAGTCAGTTGAGACTCCCATCATACCCTTAGGAAAATGTTGGCAGTCACAGAGCGGCTGAGATTTTAGCATATGTGTGGTAAAAAAATGAGGTGGGGTCATGGCATAATTTCTAGTTCTATACAGGTGAGTAGAATTTTTAGATGACTTTATGATCTAGTTTTCAAGGACAAAAAGGAGTCAAAGTTTGGAGATTCAGTTTACTAAAGCGTCGATCTGTTGTGAAATTATGTGATCAATGCTTTGAGATCGAATTGTAGCTTTAAGCGTAATTAGTTAATATCACGTGTAATATGCATAGAAATAGCCAGACTGTTTTAGGAGCATGTTGTTCAATTCTTATTATGAAACCAATAAGGTACTGTAGATGAAAATGGCAGGTTTAGAGGGATACCCAATGTTTCATTATACATAAATGACCGAACCCGTTGGAAGTAGACTCTCAGGAGAACTGTTAAGAGTTACGGATATTTTAAGCCACCTCTACTGGGGCTGTGATTTTTTTTCCTGATACCTAATTAAAAACATTAATAATGATGCTTTATCTGGTGTTCAATTTTCAGCCCTATTAAGGCTGCTCCCATTTGGGTTTGTCATTGCTCTCACAAATAGGTCACACCAAAGTCTCAAAGTTAGAGAAATGTCTCCAGGTATCATTCATAGACATATATTTTACCATTCTATCTTTTGAATTGTAGTGAAAGAAAGTTCTACTTTCGTCCTCCACATCAATTGATGAGCGAGTTCTATTTTGGGGACATATGTCGAGAATGATCTTTACAGTACTGCTGAAAAATGTTCCCATATAATCCAAAAATGGCATCAAATATTCAGATGCTTATTACCATAATAACTGCACTACACAGTATAAACCAAATTGTATTGCAATGCATTGTTTTATTGCTTAGCAAAGCACCTTACATTCCATTGTACATACTACTGTATATTTCACAGTATATTTATTCTTTGAATCAATATATCAACATGTTTCATATATTGTGCATTCCATTACATATTATTTCATAACCACTGTATATTGCATATCATTTATTGTACCTTTACGCTACAGTACCATAGCTCATTGTGCTTGTACCTCAGTGATTTTCTGATTCACTCTGTGTTCCCAAAAGCAAACTTGGCCCTCTGTGAAGTGTATAAAGTAAAGTTGTAGCCTATTAGCCTTTTATATGTATCCAACAATGGGAATTTTCACCATTTGTATTTAGGTTTGAGATATTTCATTGACTCTTTCTGCAGGTTACATTGATTCACAAATAGATGGCGACAGGTGAGTCTTTATGAGTCTCACTGAGTCACGGTAGATCGATTTGTTCAAAACAGATTCATTTAGGAGTGAAACAAGTGGCATATTCTTTATGAGCGAGATATCGAATCATTTACGTAACTGTTCTGTTTAAAAACATTTATTCATTCAAAAGTGAAACAAGTGATACATTTTGATTAGCGAGTAACTGAATCATTCAGTAACTGAATCATTTGGGGAAGTCGTGGCCTAATGGTTAGAGAGTTGGACTCGTTACCCAACGGTTGCGAGTTCGAGTCTCGTACCGGCAGGGATTGGAGGTAGGGGGTAGGGGGAGTGAATGTTCAATACCACGACTAAGGTGCCCTTGATCAAGGCGCCGAACCCCCAACTGCTCCCCGGGCACCGCAGCATAAATGGCTGCCCACTGCTCCGGGTGTGTTCACGGTGTGTGTGTGTGTTCACTGCTGTGTGTGTGCACTTTGGATGGGTTAAACGCAGAGCACTAATTCCTAGTATGGGTAACCATACTTGGCCACATGTCACGTCACGTCACTTTTTCCACTTTAAACCATTTCGTTAAAAAACACTGATTTATTCAGGAGCGAAACAAGTGACTCGTCTTTATGAGCGAATCATTGAATCATTCACTCAACTGTTTCATTAATTACCACTGATTTATTTTGGAGTGAAACAAGTGACACGTCTTTATGAGCGAGTCATTGAATCATTCACTCAACTGTTTCATTAATTACCACTGATTTATTTTGGAGTGAAACAAGTGACACGTCTTTATGAGCGAGTCATTGAATCATTCACTCAACTGTTTCATTAATTACCACTGATTTATTTTGGAGTGAAACAAGTGACACGTCTTTATGAGCGAGTCATTGAATCATTCACTCAACTGTTTCATTAATTACCACTGATTTATTTTGGAGTGAAACAAGTGACACGTCTTTATGAGCGAGTCATTGAATCATTCACTCAACTGTTTTATTAATTACCACTGATTTATTTCGGAGTGAAACAAGTGACACGTCTTTATGAGCGAGTCATTGAATCATTCACTCAACAAATTTGTTCAAAAACACTGATTCTTTTCAAAACAAAACACCATTCCTCGAGTGTTGCATGGAAATGCACACAAGTTGATTCTGCTTTGGCTTCATTTAGAACTATTATTTGCAAAAAAACGTAACTGGCAATATTGTGTCTAAAAAGTTCAATGTTAATATCACAATATACTTATGTGATGAGTTTTATTTGTCACAGTCAGATTATCACTCTTATGGTGCCACAGTAAACAGGGCATCACTGTAACCGGCATGAATATAAAAATACATTTAAAAATTAGTTTAATTTAAATTATATACTCCTTTCCTATATACACAGGAACTTTAGTATATAAAACCCAACAGTTCATATACTATTAAGGCAAATATTGCAAAACAGAGGTAACATTGTCAAAAATCTAATACACTTTCTGCATATTCAGATGAAAAAAAAAATCTGATTATTAAATAAGACTAAAATAACTCTGTAGTAATACTTGTGATTGAACTGGCTATTCACATAGATTGATTTGTTTGTGCTTTATGGTGAATTATTAGAAAAATACTGTGACATTTTACCTTGTCTTTGGAAAAACGATTATTACAGAGAGAGAAAAATAGTTAATGTTTTCTTCATTTACCTTAATCTTCATCAAGGTAGGAGACAAATCTGCAGGGGTGGATGGAGAGTTCAGTAGGTCACACTAAAAATTCTGAAGCAGGTCTAATGATAAGCCTCGCATCGACCTTTCCGGTCGGTCAGGACGATTCTTCAGCTCGAGGATTGGCTGAATGGGACTTTGCTGCAGCAGCTGGGAATCAAAGGGCATGCCGTGGAAAAACGTCTGGCTTTGGAATAGCTCCAGGCGCTGTAAGCGACGTGTGGGGATCTTGCACAGAAGCTATATTCAGACATGATAAGAGTTTTAGGAAGACAGCTTTGAATATTTGCATAAACAACAGGGTTATATGCCATTCAGATTTGAAGGAGGTAGAAATCAAATGTAAAGAAATGTTGAGAAATTAATTTAAATTAGGTGTATTTTTTAATTATACATTTTTAGTATGGATTACCTATAAATTAATATTTTAAATATTTGATTTTATATTACACATTTTATTTTATATTTATTAAAAAAAATTAATATGGGGTTTTAATATATAATATATAAACATTAATATATAAATCTTAATATGGGGTATACCCATAAACATCAGATGATCTTAATAAAATACATGCAACATATATATATATTTTTTTTTTTACACGTTTTTGTATTTCACATAATACATGTTATGATCCAGCCTGTTTCCCTGTGAATTCTTATTTTGAAGTGTTTTTCTGCCCCCAGAATTTCTGTTTTCTGTTCCTGTTAACTGTTCTACCGTTTGTTGTCATATAGTGATTCATTGGTTTCACCCCCTTGTTAACATACCCCTGTGTTTGCCTTGTTCCGTGTTTCTGGTACTTTTCCCTGTGTTAGTTCTTCATTAATGCTCTTAATAAATCCTACTGCAAGTGGATCCTCCGCACTTGTGTTTCCGTGCCTCCATCGTTACAACATGTGATACGTACAGTTAAACATGTAATACATTACAGTCTTTTTTATTGTATAATCTGCCTATGAATATAAATCATAGTCAAAATCTATATACATGTAAATCAACATAATCGCTACAATTATTGATATTCATATTATCAATATTATTCAATTCAATTCAATTAAAAAAACTTTATTATCTATCAACCAGTGACAGAAATGTATCTTACGTAAATGTACTCATTTCCTATACTCTATATACTCATAATTGACATTCATATTATCAATAATTGATATTCAGTTATTGATAATTACATTTATTGATATTCATAAGCATACTTAATACAATAAAAATACTGAATTGAGTATCCTTATGAATATCAATCAAGAGTCACACTGTTGTGCAAATAAACACCCAAATAAACAAACAAACAAATAAATACAATATTTTTATGATACATTTTTAGTGTGAATTAGCAATAAATTATATTTTCTACATAAAATATGGGGTATTTCAATAAACATTAGATGATATCAATAAAATACATTATAAAAGTGTATCAATGTTTTAAACACATTATACAACTAACATCCATAAATAATAAATGTTAAAA